TTGGAGCTTTAGATTTTCTTTGACAGATCTATGATTTTCTGGTATTGGCCTATCCTCCAACAATACACATGCTGTTCCATTATTTGAACTATACTGCTAGGAGATTTTTACCATCATGGGTATTCTTTGGTTGCATTGCAAAGATTGATAACATGCCATCATAACTTGACCTATCCCCTCCTCCAATGTTAGTTTACACAAAGTGTTAAACTCACTGATGTTTCTCATTTTGTGGTTGCCTTGCTGAAGAAAATTATGTCTTTTTATCTTAGCCTTACAGTAGTGAGTTTCTGCTTGATTTACCCAGTAGAAATAAAGATTCAGTATTGTGCCCAGAACAATGAAGGTTTTTAAAATGTCCTACAGTGTATGGGAAAGTTTAGCAAAACTGAGCTATTATATATTCACATTTTATTATAAGATTTTGAGATGCCAGACTCCTATTCTTGATGAAAATATATTTTAAAAAAAACCCAAAAGCCACAAACCTGTTAATTTCTTGAGACATAAAAGCCTTTCCACACTATAGAATTATTTGGAAATTACACTATGTGCTTTTTTCTATACTGATGTGTACATAAGCATACAAATATTTATGTATAACTTCTTAAATTTCGTACAAGTTCTGAAAGAATTCTGTTTGCTATTATCCATTATTTGAAAACTCAAAATGTACATTGTTTAAAATACAAAAAAATTAGAGAACACTTATTTTTAAATGTGTTTACATATGGTTTTCCCAGGCTTTTAAAGATCCAAGGAGTGTCATTTAGTGAGTGTTGGTCACTGTGGTGATCCCAGCAATAGACCTTCATATAGCACTTGAACCACTAGATTATGGGCCTTCGTAGAGCCCAGCTTACAGGCTGAAAGGACTCATTCCTGGACTTCTTATACACCATTTTCATGACCTGGGTGATTATATAAGCTCTGAGATCATCCAAGAGGTCTCATGCAAATACATACAGCTCTGCTGTTCCAGGAGGAAAATAATACTTACGGCAGACTCTTCTGGAAAACGCAATTTCACCAATTTGCAATTACTATAGTAATATAACTGTATGATTAATATTTACTCTTTTATCTTTGTTATATCTATTACCATGGAAAATATTATTTTCTATGTATTTTTCTTTGGTGGATCCATGATTTTTCTGGTATTGGCTTACCCTTCAACAATACAAATCATAACCTCACCATACCCTCTAGTATTATTGTGATTTGTCCATGTTTTCCTCTAGATCTCCCATAAAGGATCTCCCCCAGGGTACTAGAAGGCCTTTTTTTGTTGTTCTTCTAATATTTAGGAGTACCAGTGTAACACTTGGTGATTTAACTGTTGTGTCTTCTTCACTGTATAAACAGCTCATCTACTTTTCTTTCCCTTTGAGGAAAGAGCAGAAAAGGTGTCAAACCTTCATTTTATTTTTTCAGTTAACAAGTATTTATCTCCTCTGCCCCAAAGAATTTAAAAGGAAAAAATAAAATCCTTATAAATATAAAAAAATGCAACACATTCTCTCATTGGCCATGTCCCAAAATCTAGCAATCTGGAACAACACCCAATAAGTTACTAAACTATTAATATCCTTTCATTGAGAATTCCCATCTTAGGCCTATATCCCACAGAGATCAAAGAAAGAGGAAAAGTACCCATATGTACAAAAATATTTATAGCAGATCTTTTTGTAGTGACAAAGAATTGGAAAATAAAGGGATGCCTATTGCCTCCTACTTTTCTCCCATGTGTATCTTTTATAATGATTTTATACCTCCTATGATACATAAAGGCAGAAGGATTTCTGACTCCAGCCAGAAGAATCATTCAACTCCAGCTTCAGATTATAGGGTTGAGAGAGGAAAGAGGAGAGGATTTGTGGGTGGAGAAGGAGGGTGCAGAGGTACAATCATGGGTGGCATGCTGAGACTGCTTAACACCTACAATAGATCTTTTCATTGTCCTTTGTTTTATTTGTAATTTTAATTCTTATTCTTTGATTAACAACTTGGTAGCATCTCTGAGATAATAGCATTAAAGCCATAACCCTGGCAGATCTTCCTGCCACAGATCTTTCCTCACTCTGGTCCATCCTCCTCTCAGCTGCCAAAGTGATCTTAAACAAAATTCCTAGTTATAGGTCTCTCTTTTTTCTAAATAATATTTAATTCACCCCCCAATTATACATGAAAACAATTTTTAACATTCATTGTTTTTTTTTAAAGTATTGAGCTCCAAATTCTATTCCTCCTTCCCTTCCCTATCTCCTCCCTGAGACAGTAAGCAATCTCATACCGGTTGTACATTTGCAGTCATAAAACATTTCCCTATTAGTCATTTTGTGCAAGAAGACTTGAGAAAGAAGGAAAGAGGAAGATGAAGGAAGAAAAAAGAAAAAAGAGAAAGAAAGAGAGAAAGAAAAAATACATTTCAGTCTGTATTCAGACATCAGTTCTTTCTCTGGAGGCAGATAGCATTTTTCATGAGTTCTTTGGGATTGTCTTGGATCATTGTACTGCTGAGAATAGCTAAGTCATTCACAGTTCTTCATCATACAATATTACTGTTACTGTTATAATGTGCTCCTGGTTCTGCTCACTTCACTTTGTATCAGTTCATGTACATTATAGCTCTCTTTAAGACTCTCATAAGACAAAAACAATAATTTTAATCCTATCTTCCTGCTTTCCTCACTACCCTCTCCCTAACAAACCCCCTGCCTTGCCCTGTTCTACCAGATCCCATAGATTCTGTTTGATAGGTGTGGTGTTATTTCCTTTTCCTGGTCTTGCCTCAAAAAAAGCCTATCCTCCTCCTCACCAGCGCTTCTTAATTTTTTTTTCCCACTCACAACCCCTTCAGTGCTTCTTAAACTATGTTTAAGTTTAGAGTTTAAAAGAAGTTTAAAAAAACTTTTTAAAAAAAGTTTTTAAAAAGCATTTGAAGGTCTAAGCCATCCACCACCCATCCTTGGGCACAGCTGCCTCTTTACCTGAGTGGATTGTGGTGCAAGGCAGTATTTTTGCCAAGAAAATCCCAAATGGGGCCACAAAGAGTTGGACAGTACTGAATACAACTCAGCAGCAACATTTCATTGGATCAATGAATGCTTCTCCAGTGGTGCAGAATACAATCTATCCATGACTTATCTTTCTTGTTCAACTCTTGTCCTTGTCTCCCAGAAATCCTCCAGAGAAGATTCATTTAAAACATTGACAACTTTCAGAACATTTCTTGATGTTATGTCAGTACTCATGCTGCACTAAAGCTGATATCCTTCATTCTTCCTGTCTGACTGGTCTATTTCCCTTTCAGATCACTGCCTTAAGATAATATTGTTAACACTACTTCTGGTATAAATCTCTTCACCCTGTACCACCATGGTGTAGGCATTCATCACCACACACCTGGACTATTGTAATAGCCTACTGGTTGGTTTCTTAACACAAGTCATTCTACCCTGAGTCCATCCTCCACTCATATGCCAAAGTGGTCTTCCTAAAATGCAGATCTGATCATGTCACTACCGCTTGCTCCATTCAATAAACTCTAGCAGCTCCCTATTACCTCCACAATCAAATATAAAATGTTCTCCTCGTCTTTCAAAGCCCATTATAACCTGTTCCTACACATGCGCACATGCACACACACATACACACACACACACACACACACAACTTTCTTGTCTTCTAACACCTTGCATATTCTTCAATACAGTGAAACTGGCCTCTTTGCTGTTCCTCAAAAAAGGAACTCCACCTCCCACCTCCTGGCATTTTCACTGGCTAACTCCTATGCCTGGAATGCTCTCCCTCTTAATCACTGCCTCCTTGACTTACTTCAAGTCCCAGCTAAAATCTCCCCTTCTACAGGAAGTATTTTCAGATTCCTCTTAATTCTGGTGCTAACTCTGTTGATTATCTCCAATTCATCCTGCATGTAGCTTGCTTGTACAGTGTTTTTGCATGATTTCTCCTGCATTAGATTATGAGTTCTTTGAATCCATAGCACTTAGCACAGTGCCTGGAACACAGCAGGTTCTTAATAAATGTTCATTGATTGATTGGCTATTGCTAGTATATTACTGTCTATTTACATCTACTATATAGTTCTCCATTATCCTTCAAGTGACATGTAACTATAATCCGTCAGAGACTGTGATATATCCCAATATACAGCCATATAAATATTATCAAAAATATTAACATCATAAAGAAGGCTCTTGGTTTCAGGTAAGAGCTTTGGGTTATTGAAGCATTACTAGTCAGTACTTCATAAATGCTTCTTGACTTGATTATATGTCCTCATTTGTTGAGGAAATTATTTGCTAACTGAGATAGCATCTTTAGGTGGCACAGTAGATAAAGCACTGGGCCTAGAGTCAGGAAGACTTGTGTTCCTAAGCTAAAATGTGGCCTTAGACACTTAGTAGCTGTGAGACCCTGGGCAAGTCATTTAACACAGTTTGCTTCAGTTTCCTCATCTGTAAAATGAGCTGGAGAAAGAAATGGCAAACCACTCCAGTATCTTCTCCAAGAAACCCCCCTCCCAAATGGAGTCATGAAGAGTTGGACAGGACTAAAATGATTGAACAACAATAAAATCTTTTCATTCTATGTATATTTAGGAATAAACTTTTCAGTTCTCAGAGAAATACATTATAAATTAGGATGAGGGCATTTTTCCTAATTTACTAATACCTTTCTTTGACTTTACACTTTGCTAATTTTTGGAATAAATATAAATGAAACAGTTACACTTACCTGCTTTAGGAAAATCATTGTTACTCTCATCAAAAACAAGTGTTCTATTCCATTTTATATCATATATTTTTATATTACCTTCATGCAAATAAGAATTTAATATAGTGAATGGAAAATAAATAACTATTGATATGTTGAATTATTGCAATCAGCAGTTAGAATGTGCCTATAGAATTGATAAAAAGTAAGCCTTATCAGCTGATGCACTTATGTAATTGCCCTTTTCCTTTTATTCTCAGTCCCCTGCACATAGCTACTCAAGTTATGAATCTGGGAAGAATGACAGTGTAGACAGAGGTGCTGAGGACTTATCCATGAACAGAGGAGATGAGGATGAAGATGACCATGATGAGCAAGAAGATTCGGAGAAAGTTAATGAGACAGATGGAGTAGAAGCTGAGCGACTGAAAGCTTTTAATGTGAGTCTTGCCATACTGCTGTGTGGTTTAATTTTATCAATTTATTTTATATGTTGTTACTCGGTAAATGTGGATATTTTAGACGCATGTTTGTTTAATTTACAGAAGGATTTTTAAAGTACATGAAACACTCTTGGCCAACCAGACACCAAAATTGCTGTGTTTTGTTTAGAATTTTAAAGCCAAATGTCAGCTGAAAACTGGAGTTGGGTTGTGTGAGTATGCATGTTTATCTAGTGGATGAAGGGGGCCACAGCTTGTTCTCTGAAGAGTACAACCGTGATCAGCTATTTCTGTTGCTTTCCAAGCTTAACCTAATTATGCATGACAAAACAAGCAATTGCTAATTTCAAAGATTAGTACTTTTCGAAGTACCAAAAGTACTTAGTGCAGTGTTAACTTGTAGCGGTTGTAGTTATTATTAATAAAAAATGTTACGGGGTGCTCAATTTTACAGCTGATTGTTGATTATTTCATAATTTCTATACACAAGTCTATTCTGTCTCTGTCTCTGTCTCTCTCTCTCTCTCTCTCTCTCTCTCTCTCTCTCTCTCTCTCTTTCTCTCTTTCTTTATTCAGCCCTTTAGAAAGCCCTTAAAGAGTGTTTGCTAAAAATTTCTGGCTCTCCATTGCAAAATTCTTCAGTGCATAAACCAGAAAACGGTATTTTCCTATCAGTAATCAAGACAGGAAGCTAGAAAGAGAAGAGAGCAGCCCTCCAAACCCTTCTCCTCTGTCTCCCTCTTGCCAACAGATGTTTGTCAGGCTGTTTGTAGATGAAAACTTGGACCGAATGGTCCCAATCTCTAAGCAGCCCAAAGAAAAGATCCAGGCTATCATTGACTCATGCAGGCGACAATTCCCTGAGTATCAAGAACGTGCCAGGAAACGTATACGTACTTACCTCAAGTCCTGCAGGCGGATGAAAAAGTGGTTTTGAGATGGTGAGTTTTGACTTAAAACACAGCCCTAGATTCCATCAAAACCCCATATGTAAATCCATGACACTATTTTGTTTTCATCTTAGTGTCTTTTTTTTTTGTAATGTCAGGTCAGAGTTTTTTTTCCCCCTTTCATCTTTCCTGAATTTTTTCCCTTTGTTCATTCAATGAGAAATGCCTTGTGAGAATACAGCTCACAGGTACTGTCTAGCATCATTCTATAGAAAATGAGGATTAAATGAATAGAACCCAATGGGAAAGAGCATCTCATTCATTTTTTTTTCCTTTCTGTCACTCCTAAACCAGATATGAGGTTCATCGTCTTGAAATGAATCCAAATTTCTTTAGGACTTATCTGTTAATGGCTTTTTCTGAGCAGAGTGGAAATGGGAAAAGTATTAGATCCATCTAAATAATACACTTTCCATATGAATGGCTAGCAAATAGCAGATCTTGAAAATAGAAACAGGAAGACCAGGGGAATAAAGACTCTAGTGAAATTGGGGCTTTGTTGTTCTTGGTGTGTTTGTACTGCGTTTATGTGTTTGATATTCTGAGTTTTTCACAACTCTGGACGAAGAAGAAGATCAATTTAGGCTGTCCACGGATATTGTTAGAGGATGGAGATTAGACACCAATGCTTTAGCAAACACTGCCTATATATCTTCTAGTTGACATTACACCCCAGAAATTATATACATATAATATTATATTTAAGATATATAATATTATCATAGAATGTGTATATATTACATATATTATAATAGATTACATTATAATACTATATATGTGTAGGTAACTTCTGGGGTAGAATTGACAATTAGAATTAGAATGGATAATTATATATGTGTGTATATATATACATATATACACACACACACACACATACACACATATATATGCACACATACATATAGGTTAAGAATAAAGTTCTTGCCTTTCTGCGGGTTTTTTTTTAAATTTCAGAATACCCAGAGTGTATACACATGTGCACACACACACACATACACATATGCACACATAATAGAAGTGATAAACTCTAAGAAAATTATTACTTTCTGAATTTTGGCATAATTAAAACTTCTTGATATATCTAGTATGCAGAAGCATTGTAGTACAGGGTAATGCTAGTGCATATTACACATAGTTAGTCTATATAATTTCAGGTGAAAGTAACACTGTCACTGAACTTATATTTTAAAATTCAATTTCCAACTTAACACTACTTGGTGAATTATCTGATAAATCTTACAAAATCATCTTTTTCTTAACTGCAATAAAACCCCCGAAACTTTGGTATTGGTCCAATGTTTCAGTTTTTGTTTCAATTTCAGGGTAAGAAGAATATGGCTGAGCTATCTAGCTATTCTTAAAGCACCTTCTGATACTTTTCAAAGGAAAAATGGATAGGAAAAGGCCAGGTATGGGAAAAATAAGGAGTCATGTGTAAAAAGATAGATTTATTTGGTTTTCAGCAAAGCATTAGACAAAGTGTGATATCCTGTCCTTGTGGACAAGGTGGATAAATGTGGCTGGATGACATATAGATGGATTCATAACTGTTCGAATTACTAACACCCAAAGAACACTGATTAGTGGATATCAACATGGAAGATTTCTAGCACTGTGTTATGAGGACCTAATTTTAGTCTTGTGCTGGTTAGCACTCATCAGTGATTTGAATTAAAACATAAAAGATATACTTATCAAATTTATGAGTGATACAAAACTGGGCAGAATAGCTAATACAACAGGTTGCAGAATAATAATCCAAAAAGATCTCAGTAGTCCTGAATCTAACAAGTTTAAATTAGTTAAAAAAATTTAAAAGTCATGTACTTATTTTTTAAAAAGACTATAAAAATTAAGGATAGGGCAGATAATGACAACATTAAGTCATAGACAAAAGACTTTCATTTATCACTAACTTAAATCAAATATTGTTATCGAATAGGCAAAACCAGAGTCAGTCATACAGAGCTCATCTCAGATGTTGAGAAGACCTGTATTGAAGCCATACATCTGATACATACTGGCTTTTTTGACCCTGAACAAGTCTTCAATTTCTAAGTTCCCCCAGGAAACTCTGTAAGATGATCAACTGCAGAGTCAATACTTGTAGCATCACTAGTGTTCTCATCGAGTTCCCTATGTCAATGAAATCATAGATTTGTCCACCTGTCATCCCTCATCAAAATGACATAACCATGATTTCAAATAGTTCTGACCTGTATTTAACTGTGACATACACTAATTCTAATTACTTACCATTCTTGTATTTACAAATGTAACATTTTAAAATATAATATGTAAAATATAGTACTAAAAGCCCTAGCTATATGTCCTTGGAACTCTCTAAGATTTATCTGCAAAGTCATTCTCCTATTTAGCAGGATTTGCGAAAATCTGAAAGTTGAATGTTTGCTTCTGAAATCTTACATTCTTCATGTGGATCAGTAGTTAGAGGCCAAGAATGTTCAGAAATAGCTTTTCTTCTTATAGAATGGGTTTCTTAAGAGGGAAAGGACAGGGGAGTTCATGATGGTGATTGAACATTAATATTAATAATAATAATAGCCTTCTCTACCTCCTATTGCAACTCTGCAAAATACCTCCCTACTTTCTTATTTCCCCCTCTATCAACAGCCCCCCACCCAAGTCATCCCTTGTGAATCCATGCATATCCCTATTTAGCTCTGTATCCCCTCCACCCTTTGATATGGTCACTGCAACTATCTGGCACAAAATAAATTATTTTTGAGTAGATAGATGGGTAGATGGATGGTTGAATCTTTTTTTAAATGCATATTTCCTCTTAAAGAAAAATTGTTCTGAAAAGATAACAAATAAATATTTATGGTTGTTATTTTTACATATTGATGCAGAAGGCAAAATATAAGGACTTTGAATCTTCTTTTTTTGTTATTTATTGTTGATACAGAATGTTTATGGTTTATAGTGGTCTGCCTGGTTGATACACACACACACACACACACACATACACACACACACACACACAAACTCTACCCTCCACTTCTTCATTCTAAGTCAATCAGCTAATCTGCTTGTCACCATTGTCCTTGTGGGTCATGTAATTTACCTAAAATATCACAGATGTATTTTATACTAGGCTGATCTTTTTTTATTTTTAAATTAAAAAATACAGTGATGGGTAATACAAAGAAGATTTGAAATGTAATATTACTTCAACTCTTGAGAGAATGGTAGAGTAGAAAATTTACTTAACTGAGAATTAGATGTGAGTCTTAGCTCCAGCTCTGCCACTAGTGAGCTATTTGGCCTAGGAAAATCACTTTACCCCTCTAATCTGTGGTTTTCATCATCTATAAAATAGGGAAGTTGAATTATATGATCTCTAAGGCCACTTCCAGCCTTGAAACTCTGTGACTCTAGGCAGATAGCCCTCAAATCTAGACCTCAGGCCTTGACCAAGAATCTTGCCTGAGCTCCAGTTCCAGTACTTCCCCATTGGATTACAGATTGAAGTCTCTTTAGCTGGGCATTCTAGTCCCTCCAGAACTTGAATCTAGCCTATCTTTCCAACCTCATATCTGAATTATGAAAACTTTACTTTCCCGGCATATTGGTCTATTCACTGCCCTCCAAACACATACATTTCCATATCTGTGCTATTGCTTATAACATTCTCCTTTCCTGGAATGGCCTCCCTACATCTTTTTTCCCATCCATTGTGATCTTTCTGAAAACATCTTGACCGTTCTAGCCCATACTGATCTCTCTGTCCTCTTATACACCTTCAAAACATATTATTTGGACCCGTAAATTGGCTCTTAAACATATGCTACCTTATGACACCTTTTGTACTGTTGTGTTATTCTGTGACTAAATTTTTTTTATTGTTATTTGCCTTTATAGTTATTTACTTCTATGTATTGTTTCACTAATTAGAGCCTAAGAACAGTATGGTATTTTTGCAGCTCTCAATAGATTCATTTGGGATAAATGAATGGATGGATGAATGGGTAACATATACATTAAATATGTATAAATAAACAAATAAACATAGAATTATTTTACCATAAGAATATTTTTTGTTAAAAAAAAATCATGACATTCTGTTGTCTGAAATCACTGACATATAATAGGTAAAGTACAAACAGAATGGAGAAATTGTTCCAGATAGAGATGTATAGTCTGGTAGGTGGTTTTGCAAACATCTTGATCATCATAAAGATAACTTTCAGCAGCTGGCTATAAATAGCTCCATTTGAGCTATTGTTAATATATCAGAGACATTATCTTGATTTTTATCCTCTAAGGCAACGTTTACTAAACTATGTTTCACAGAATATTAGTGTTCCATAACCTATGAATGGTGTACCCTGAGATAATCGTGATTCTATGTGATTTTTCCCTCTAAACATTAAATTACTTACATGTCAAAAATATACCATGATGACTTTTCAGCAGGAAAATAGGTTTCGTTTCCTCTTTGTTGCTTTACAACTTCTCCCATTTTTTTTACAGAAGTATTCTATACCCTTAGATTAAATGAAAAACCCTTTATGAATTCCAGCAATATATAACTGACCAAAAATGTTCTAGGGCCAAATTAGCTTGGGAAGAATGGATGTAGAAGCTTTTTTATGTCTTTCTTTTCCTCCTGATTGAGTTCCTCTACAGAAGTGTGTCCTTGGTTTCTTGCTCTAGGCACATTGGTCAGGCCAAGTGACCTGGCTTGGGGCTCAGACGCTGTCCCTTACCATGTATGAAATTAGGCTCCAACCCTCACATATAAAATAGAAGTGGTTATATTTGCACCACCCTACTAGATCACAGAGTTGTCTAAAGAAGGCACCCTGGGAAACAAAAAGAATTTTAAATATAATTTATCATTTTTGTTTTAAGGCAAGATAATTCACACTTCTGTCTTTTCTTATTTTTACATACCATACTGCAACTGTGGGTAAAACTTCCCAATTGGAAATGTGAATACTTAACTAGATAGATAGATAGATAGA